AAACATGAATAGTAAGGTGGCACAATACAAGGCAAAGTGTCTTCAGTGGGACCTTGCACCAAATCAACCCAAAACCAAAAAAGGAGTAACAGAGAAAACTTGCAGCCATGTGTTGAAACACATGTCCAGGTCCAGGCTACAAGGAGCTGAAAACCTCTGGGCTGCAAGGGAGTGAGACTTCATCAAGCTACCTAGGTCCTTAGCAGATCAAAGAGGATTAATATGAGATGAACAAATCCTTGCTGAAAGACAGGGGAAGGGTTAGGGTCTTCTGTAACTGGAAGAATCTGGCTTTACCTTTAGAACATCTTGACTAAGCAACATGGCTCCAGTGAACTTTTCCAAACTAAATTTCAGGCCAAACACCCTCAGCTGCTTTAGCACATCCATTTTCTGGCCATGTCCTGTTTTTCATCATTCAGTAACCCTGCCTGCAGAGGTTTCTGGCTTGTCAGTCTCTCAGCTTAAGGCAACTATAGCTGCAGTTTAAGACACCTCAACAGGCAGTGTAGTGGTGCTCAGCACTTCTTCTGTCTTAGTGTGGGGGTCCCTAAGCTCTCCTTTTCAGTTTTCAGCACTTTCACTGGGTCCTTCTAGTTACACATCCTGTGGTCCCTTCCTCCCTGCATTTCCTTTCTGTCCAAGCAACTGTAAGTCTTCTTCCAGGTCCTCCACTCTCACCCTTTGATTTCATTGCCTCCTTCCTGAGTCTATTGTTCCTGCTTCCAGCAGGAGGCTGACAATAAAACAGTCACTGTCCCCAGGCTGTTTCTCTCAAATTCTCTTCAGGGCTTCCCTCACAGGTGCCACACAGTTCCTAAGGAATGCTCTATCCATAATTCTATGGATGTTTCACCAGTGGCTCTGCATCTCCTCTACACATTCCAGCCAAGTATGGAGCCAAAGCACTGCTACCTAACCCCCGTGCACACAAATCCTTCATAGTGACCTCTTTGACAGTGGTGATTCCACTCTGAAAATTCTTTGTTTTCAAAAGAGCTTTCTCATTTTGCCTTGCTTATGACCTTGTCTTATGGTCAGCTCTGCCTGCCTTTCTTTCATGGGTCACTGTCTTCTGCTTAAGGCACACTCCCCATGCTTGTACGGGCTGCAGACAATTAGTCCCTGTACTAGAGGGATTCCGTTTATTTAGAAAACTCCTGAGAGGGGTGATCTGCAGGGAAGAGAGATTACATATCTACTGGAGAATCTGGAAGAGTCATGTCTTATGGGTGGACAGCCCTGCTGGTTCTGACCTCAGGCAAGTTAGTGCCTGTGCTGTCAACTGCCCTTGAAAGGAAGGGAGCTCAGGGTCTGCTCATTTCTTAGTTTTTCACCTTGCTTCCATGTGGCATGATGTGTATGTCTTCCATCACTTGAGTGACTGTCCCCTGCCAAACAGCCTGCTTCCAGCAGGGACACCTGTAACATTTCCAAACAGACCACCACAGCAAGATCTAAAACTAGTCCTCAGATCCAGGAAAACCCAGGCCACAACAGCCAGCATACCTCTACTTTGAGGTATGTCTAAAGTTTCCCAAGTCCAAAGCACCTGCCAGGCCAGAGGTGGTATTACCAGACATTTACAAATCAACTTTTAATTGTAACATTGGAAATGGAATAACAAAAGAAAAGCCTCAAGATACACATGTATATACACACAGTTGTGTAACAACTACAGGAGCAGCATGCTTCTGCCCTGGCCCTACATTCCTGTCACCCTTTCCATCAAACCACAGCAGTTTTGCCTGGCAGCCCAGCAACACTGTTTGGCACAGCTGAAAGGGACAGTCCTCTCTTTCTCCCTTTCAAGACTTCCTAGCCTTTGCCTTACTTACTCAGCACTTGCACAAGCAGGAGATCAGCTCAGCAATGCAATGACAATCACTGTCTGAGCAGGGCTCAGGACAAGACAGCCCACAGCTACCACTTCCCAGAGTGGGTGCAAGGGACAGCACGTGCAGCAGGACCAGCCTTTTGGCTGCAACACAACCTCAAATCACAGCAAGCCATCCATAACTACACTCCTCTATATCTCTCAAGTTACCCATCTGTGGTGTTCCTTAAATTATGTGTTCCTTCAACCTTTGCTGGCTTTTCTCCAAACCACAACATTTGCAAGACTGCAGTAAAATTGTGTAAGTTGTAAACTTTATTCACTCTACACTTACTATATTAGCTCCTTATCTTAGATCTTGCTGGTAGAATTGTGTGGAGCCAGTGAGTGACATGACTGCCTGCCTTGCTGCTGTACTTTTTCCTAGGGAGGCAGCTACTGATTACACTCAGTCCAGCACACTGGCAGCCTGGTCAGCCACAACCCTCAGCCAGCTGCTTCCCTTGCATCAATCCAAGTGAATACATGGCAGAGCAGTTTGCTGACTTGACAGAAACCTAACCTAACCCAAGGAAAATTTTCCATATGATCTCTGATGATAGAAAATTAGGAGCATCTTCTTACACACTGTCCCTTTCAGCTGGGAAGGAGCTCACTTGCTGAGAACACGTCTCTGTCTCTTGTTGTAGTGAGGAGGAGAATGCTTTCTATTCGATTTTCCTCTCCTCCATTCATGGCTGTGTTTGCTCCTTCCACTACTGAAAATAGCCAGGCTGCCCTGCAATATTGAGCAGAACTTTCTCCCAGAGTTACTGTCTATCCCCAAGGGAAATCACATGGATTAGTTAGTGTCTGTGAACTGCTTAGTAAGAGAGAAGGACAAAAAAAATTTAAAAAAGTTGTGTTAAGAATTGCTTCTTTGCCCAAGGCATCATTGTAGATTTCTGGTACCCCATCACTCAGCATTATGATCCATGGGAAACTCTATCTCCCTGTTACTTTTTGGGTAATGTGGGCAGCTAAGGTCCGGTGGTCAGAAGATATTGCGATGTACAGAAAGATAGAATCACTCCCCTCCTCAATAGTTTATGGTAATTACTCCCATAATTAGCCAATAGCACCTAACTGTGATGAAAGCAGATGGGAGTGACACTGTGAACCTAGGTTATAAAGTGTCAAATTCTTCACCAATAAACGCCATTTCACCGTCTACCACATTGGTGTTAGCGTGCAGATGGACCAAGTGACCTGGGATTGGTCACCACTCCTTTGAAGGTGACAGGGTAGTTTATTGAATTTGCCAACCCCTTTCCCAAAACTTCTCTTTCAGCAAAAGTGTGAGAGGGCAATGGGTCTGAATAGGAGAGGAAGACTCAGCCACCTCATCTCTCTACTGCACAGTCCTATCACCCATGTTCTTTGCTGGGTAGTGAGAAAAGAACAAGGTCCCTTTTTCCCTCTACCACCCTGCTTTTGGACAGACACATAGAGAAGCACTTCCTCTTACCTTTGGCTCAGGCCTGAAAGTGCAAGGCATATTTTAACCCCATCACAGCACTTCCCTCCTGAATCTCTCTTGCTCTTCCACAGTAACCTCATGCCCTCAGATAACCAGACTTCTGTACTGAAAATGTGTCCCTGGTGGTATGGCAGACTCCAACATCATGCCTGGTCATCATCCTTTGCTTTCCTTTGCTCTCTTGGATACTGTTGGGAACTATCTTTTATTGCCAGAAGTGGATAACAGCAAGGTGATCTCTGATTAGAAGGCTACATCAGGCTCAGGGTCTGGTGCCACAGCAGTCAGGAAGAAAGAGGTAGATGTCAGATGGGATGTAGATGGATAGGGAAGCTGAGAGCCAAAGAGTAGCCTGCCAGCTTGGAGCTCAGAAATTCAGCACTAAAGCACATGAGATGCAAAAGAAACAGATGCAGGAAATAGCAAAAACAGTGTTGTGACAGCACTCATTCACTGGGAACAGTCAGCAGCAGGAGGTCTTTCCTGTAATAACAAAGGCAACAAAAAGAAGCTGATTATTTCTCAGACCAGCAGCATGCTCTCCCTGCTGCTTTTATGGAAAACTGATGGACAGGATCAGCAGCCTTGCCAGGATCTGGAGCAACCAGCATGGATTTGAAGGCCTGCAAGAGACCCTGCTGAGGTACAGAAGCTGAAGTAACCCTGCTGTAGCAAGCATTCTGAGAACACAATGCAGTGAACAGAAACCATGCTTCCTACATGGAGGAGAGGAGCTTGCACTGTATCTCCCCATGTCTCCTAGCACAGATGGGCAGAGACAAAGTGTGACACTGACCTACTGGCCTCTGAGGCTGCCTTGGCTCCTGAGCACATGCCATTTCTCTCTGTCATGACTTAACCCAGCATCCAAGCATCACACAGCTCACTCCACCCACCCCATAGCACCCACTGGAATGGGGAAGAGAATTGAAAAAAGGTACAATTGGTGGGTGGAGACAAGAACAGTTTAATAACTGAAATAAAGAAAAATATAGTAATAATAATAACAATAACAATAATAACAATAATAACAACAATAATAACAATAACAATAACAATAACAATAACAATAATAATAATAATAATAATAATAAAAAAGGAATTAAACCCAAGAAAAAAGTGATGCTCAATACAATTGCTCACTGCCTGCTGACTGATGCCCATCCCATTCCCAAACAAAAGAAACAAGCAGAGAAGGGGAGCAGCACTACACAACTGATGATGACAGGGCAGGAACAAACAACTCAGGTTGAGGCAGCTCCAGCCAACATGAACACGAATACTCCCAATGCACCCTCATCATCTGAACTCCCTCCTCTACACAAGATACAGCTTACACAACCCAACACCAGAGACTCTCTCTCCTGCCCTGCTGTAGCTTCACCTGTCAGGGCCCTGAATGCACTAACAGGCCTTCATTGTCCAGAGCAGCCTCACCTATGGCTCTACCCAAAGCCCCTGCCCCCATGGGGTTTAGGGTGGATGTGTTTGCATATAAGCTCAGCCCAGAGTTCTCAGGTCCTGCCTGAGCTACGTTGGAGGAGTAGTAGTCTCTGTCTGTGCTTTGTTGATCTTAACCTGTAGGATGGTTTATCAGCCTGACCTCAGGCTTGCCTTGCCTTATCACCACAGACACACCTGGCAATGACTGGGCCTGATCCTGACCCAGTTTGCTGCGAACAACTCATCACCATGAGCTTGTCCAGCTATCTCAGTTCTTGGTCTAATCCAGATGCTATGCCAGGCCTGCTGGGCTCTCAGTGGCCAGGTACTGTGGGAATGGGCCATGCCCAATGATGGCTCTGGTTTCTGGCCTCAGGAACAGCCCCTCACAGCTCTCCTTGTCCTAGTGTGCAGCCAGCCCTTACTGCACCCTGACATCAGCTCTCCTGGTATGACTGCCAGGACAGCTGCACCATGAATGGCATCAGGGAACTCAACTTGTTTAAAAATAACTCTGAGGAAAATGCTATCAGTTACTTTTACCTGCATTGCCTCCCCAGCACATGTGTGTGTAATCCCAGAAATGGCATATAGGTACCATAAAGGTAGTAGAATTAAAGCAACAGAAACTGGAGAATACTTAAGACAAAAGTGCTGCCAAGAGTGAGCTCTGTCAGGTTAGATCAGGCTTCACTACCCAGCTCAGAAACTCATCTCAGAGCAGTTTCAATCAGATGTGCCAGCCAGAAGCCTCTCATCTTACTGCATGTGCCTACCATATCAGATCTCACTGTAATCATAGTTAGAGCTTTGCTGATTCCCAGAACACAAGACCCTGCTAAACCTGCAAGGGTTTTTCTGCAGGGCTATTTTTTCCCTCAACAACTCTGTTGCTCCTGATTGCATCTCTATGTCCCATTACTTTATGTATCTTCTGAAGACCACGGGTCCTAAGTTCCCACTGCAAGGAATTCTATTGTCTATCTTAACATCTGTGGATTGTCTGGAAATGAGTGAAGAAAGCCTTTAAATTTAAACTGAAAGTTGTCTTGTCCAGATATTAGTACATTTAAGAGTTTCTTTTAGTGACAAGGTACTGCTGCAGAGCAATCTCTTTTCAGAGGTAAGGAAATACCAATGCATTCCATCTCTGTAATACCAAGCTACTGATTAACTTTTCTTGTTGTTCTCATCCCCCTGAACCTCTCATTGCTCTGCAGTCACTTATTTTTTTTTTCTCACTAAAGAATGAAATGGATTATATGCCATTGACTTTTAGTTCACAGCACAGCCATATTTTTTCCTATTTTTCTTGCTTTATAACTCAGTGCCTTTCTAGCCAATACTCTACTGCTTCTAGGCAGGTAATACAGCAGTTAAAGGCCCTGACATTATCTTTGCTCTGAAGTAACAACTTCCCTACCTTGATTGCTGCCTCATGATGCCTTGATTACTGCATAGTCAAGTACTAGCCTCTTGAGAGGTCCCCCCCTGATTAAATCAGGGCTGTGAAGATGGAGAAGAGTCTGGAGGGGAAGCCATACCAGGCGTGGATGAAGTCACTCGGTCTTTCAGCCTGGAGGAAACTCATTCCTCATCGTGGTCTTCAGTATCATCACGAGGGGAAGCATAGGGGCAGGGCCATTCTCTTTAATGACCAGTGTCAGGACTCTAGGCAGAGATTTGGGTGGGCTATTAGAAAAGAGTTCATCACGCAGAGGGTGACTGGGCACTGGAACAGGCTCCCCAGGGAAGCGGTCACAGCACCAAGCCTGACAGAGTTGAAGAAGCTTATGGACAGTGCTCTTAGGCACATGGTGTGACTCTTAGGGATATCCTATGCAGAGCCAGGAGTCACTCAATGATCTGTGTGAGTGCATTCCAACTCAGGACATTCTGTGGTTCTGTAAATCACTTCCAAATCACCGTTCGTTTGTGCCAGTGTACCAAGCCCGGTGCCCTAAGGTCGGCTGCTGGAGCAGGTGATGCCTGTAAACGTTGCTCTGAGCTTTTCCCCCGGTAGCAGATGACCCACGGCAGGCACTGCCCCACTGCTATTCTAAAGCGCCCTTCTCTCGGTGCGGGCCCGCAGCGGCCCCAAAAGGAGGGGCACAGCCCGCAGGGCTCCGCAGCAGCGCCGAGCAGGGAGCTGTGGGCCTGCCCTAAACGCTCCGGGCTCACGGCGGTCTCGGGGCGTGCAACGTCCCGTGTGCGTAAGGCGATGCCGTGACCCCCGCGAGGCGTCGGGCCGGCAGCCGGCGCAGCGGCTGGGATGACCTGGAGCTAACGCTGCCCCACATCCCGGCACCGGAGGGAAAGCGGGACCTTGCTCCCCGCTCGCCGTTCAGACCCAGGGACGCGGCTGGGGGCCGGCCCACGGGCCTCTACCGCGGCCGTGGCGCCGATTGGGCCCGGCCGGCTGCCGTCCCCGCGGGGGTGTCTGGGAAGGAGAGATCNGCAGAGCCGTCGCTTCAACCTGGCTGTCCCTCTGCCTTCGCTTTAGTCGTGCTTCGACTGCGGCGCCAAGAACCCGAGCTGGGCCAGTATCACCTACGGGGTCTTTCTGTGCATCGACTGCTCCGGCGTCCACAGGTCCCTGGGCGTGCACCTCAGCTTCATCAGGTGCGTGGGGAGCGCGGCCCGCGGCACCGCCGGCAGGCCTGGAGCAGCCAGCCCGCCTTGGGGTGGGAGCACGCAGGGACTGGGAGAGAAGCCTTATCACGGAGCGATCACCTCGGGGTTTATGTGGCTTGCTCGCTGGAGGTTTTCAGCATTTCTAGTTCCAAAATGGAGTTTCCAAAGCACCTTAGGTGGAACGTCGACATGTTGCTTTCGCTAACCTTGCAGAAACGCTGTCTGGACTTGGCATTGTAGGAGCAGAGACGCGAGTGTGGTGTGTGAATCTTGCCAGTAAGGCAGCAGTGTGGTGTATATACATTTTCATAATGCTGAGCAAGGCAAAAAGAGGAATATTGTTTAATCTTTTTGCTATTAACCTAATGGGGATGATGGTGTTGGCTTTTCAGCCTAGTTCTTGTTTTCAGTACTTGTAAAAATTAGCATTTTAAATTAACAAAACTGTGACCTTTATTTATTAGGAGAGAAGTTGAGTAAGTGGTATGAGACACTCTGTGTCCCCCCTAGCTTTACTTGGATGTATTCTCAGTTGCTCTGTCACGTGTTTTGGCCCAACCTGTGGGATGGGCTGACTATGAGTCTCTCGTGTTGCGGTGAGATCACATGTAGAATGGAAGTTCTTGGCTGTGCTTTCCTAGCTCAAGCTGTGCCCTCTAAAACAAGCAGTACAAGGGAGAGAGCCTCAAAATTTGGGTAAAAGCTGGTCTCCTTCCTTACTTTAAAAGTTAAAATTATTTTTTTTACAGGAGCAAAGAAATTCCCAAGATGTTCTTTTCACCCTCGCCTCTTACACTTTGGAATAGTAGTGGGATATCTGACCATTTTAGGCCAGAGCTTGGTTTTGCATTTGGTTTGCCTGGTCTTTATTAATAGAAATAATTGGTTCTCACTCACACAGGTCCACAGAGTTGGATTCTAACTGGAACTGGTTCCAGCTGAGGTGTATGCAAGTGGGCAGTAATGCCAACGCGGTGAGGATCCTCTGTAGGCATTTTGCTTGCTTTCCCTCTTGCTAATCCACATTCTCTGCTTCTTGTCCCTTTCCTTTCTGTGGCTTTCTTGGTACCAGTCTCATCTGAAATGTGTTATGAAGGGGGGCATTTGTCAAGTGTGCTTGGAAGTCAGACTGTGATTTTTGCATGCGTTGTTTTCTGACGTGCAGATCTCTCATTTTTTTGCACGTCATTTAAATGAGAGGTATAGCCTTCTTAAATGATAGGATTTAATAACACTGATCAATTTGAAAGCTAATGCTCAGCATTGTGACTCAGAATCATCCCTCTCTAGAGAAGATGGATGATTTTCATAGGCCCCTGGAGTGAGACTTCGTGTAGAAAGCTGATCAAGGAATGGTTGGTTCATGCTGTGTTCTCAGTTTTTCATCCTCTGTCTATGGGAAGTTTTGTTTTTCTGTTGAGTTTGCCTAGTGCTTGCTTGAGTATGATCTACCAGTCAGGAGACTAAATATTCCTCTCTTTTCAGACTGCTTTCTTCCGGCAGCATGGCTGTACCACCACAGATGCCAATGCTAAATATAACAGTCGAGCTGCCCAGATGTACAGGGAGAAGATCCGGCAGCTGGCAAGCGCTGCCATGGCCAAGTATGGCACTGATGTAAGTCTGAGAGCTCAGGAGTGCTACATGGGTATGCTGAGTGCTCAGTCTTGTAGGATACCTTCTTTTTTGCCTCTCCTCTCTTTAGTTGCTTATAGATGGACTGAGTGGAGCTCCCGGGCACTCCCCTGACAAGAGTGATGCTGATTTCTTCATGGAGCACACGCAGGTGAGAAGAATTACCTAAACCAGGCAGCCTTAATGGCTCTCCAATAGCCAGCTGTTCAGCCAGGAGCAGTCCCACTTAGCTTGGAAGGACTCTAAATTGTATAATTACTCAGTATAATGTGCAGTCATCTGCCTGGGACATAGTCACAGATCTGAACAGTCCCTGTAATATCCATGTCCTTTGTTTTTGAGACCATCTTTCGCTTCAAGAAGTACTCAAAGCTACCACCTATGCCCTGGAAGATGCTTTGTGTATTGTGTTAATACTTAGTTTCTTTCTACTGTTAAAGCAAGGTCTACCTATTACTTTGAACTTCTGGTTAAGAAGAAACTTTTCAGAACATAGACCCTGATAAAGTGGATTTGGGCAACTGCACCATGCCAGGCAGACTTTGTCAGCTAATGTATGAATTAGATATATGGCAAATAGAGACAGTGGAAGTGGAGATTAATTTTTCCCAGGAAAACTCATTTAAACTTTCTCCCAGATTGAAACTCCTTTCCTTTAACCTGGGAAGTGCTCACATTAGCCAGCTTGTCAAATGATTCTGTCATTCCTCCTGGCCTTACATTCAGCTTAGCTTCCTTTTCTTTTTTAAATTTTTGTCCCTACTAAGGGAATCCACACATTATATTCAGGGAAGGCATAGTCTGAAGTTTGGAATAAGTTTCTTTTGGCTTAAAATTGAATACAGGTCACTAAACCTGTATTAAATTCAGGATTATTTGGTTCATTCATCTTCTGCAAAAAGCTGGAATGAGTCTTTCCTTGCAGTCTTCCAGTACCTGGGATGTAGCAGATGCCAGCCAGAATCCTGCACAGTCTTCTTCAGAGGTGGAAAAAGTGGAAAAGTCATCAGAAGGCAGCGAAGTTTCGAGTGAGTTCTTTACTGAGTAATTTTTCCAAGAATCTGCCTTCATTTCTGGGATAATACAGTTCTGTACCACCGTTGGAAGGGCTGAACTTAGCCTTTGGTTCAGGCCTGAAGGAGGGGAAGTTCTATGCACTCTTATCCTGTTTAGTTAAATTAGTGGAGACTTCTTAAAAAACCTCCGTTTTGGCTCAGTTCTTCACTTTTCCTGAAATGCACACACAACTGTTTTGAGGATTAGCTGCCCCATTTGCCTCCTTTCAGACATTATTATTTGTCTAAACACTCTTCTCTACCCCTTGAACTTGTTGGGTCTGAAAATGACATAGGACAGAAAACTTTCTAGGGTGAGGGGATAAGGAAACCAAGAACCTGGGGGCATAGCTGTAATTTGAAATCAGCTTTGTATATTTCTCTGCAGAGTGTTTGCTTTCTTTTACTGTGTTAAGAACACTGCAGAAGGAATAATTTACTCTGTGGAGATGTAAAGTTGTTTTGCTTGGGAAATTGCATATTTCAAGCTGCAACTGGATTTATGTGTGGGAGCAGAGGAGAGATGTAGAGAAACTGTGAACATACTGGAAAGAAAAGGTTTGAGAATCAATCTGCTGAATATTCTCTTCTGGTTTTGTGCCCACAGATCCCAGCCAAGGTCCATCTATTGACTTGTTGAGCACATCTCCTAAAGCTCCTCTAGGTAAGACTCTTCACTCTCAGATCAGTCTTGTTCTTACACCCACTGCTCAGTAGTAAGCTCAGTGAAGGTGGAAACAGTGAGCCAGTTTCCAGAATGTCTAAACAAGCTTACCTCCCTGTTGAGCCAGTACTTGGGATGTTCCTGAATGAAGCCCAAAATCAAGTCACAGTTTCCTGGAGGTTTCCTCCTCGTTTGGATAATTGAGTTCAAAGCTGTTACTTTTCAAAAGCATGTTTTCCTGGTTTTGAGCTTTGGACAAAACTTGGCACTTGCACATGTAGAACTTGGGTGATCAAGGCCACATGGCTGTTTTTTTTATTTGTTTGTTTCCCCACAGAACCTTTGGAGGCAAATGAAATTTTAGCTTTCAGAATAATAGGGATTTGTATCCGATTCTTTCCTGCCATTACTGTCCTGGCTGCACACAGAACATCTAGCTGGAGCTTCTTTCCTTATTGAGAGCATGCTCCTAGCCCACAGTGGGTTCATTCTGGGTGGAGGGCCTGTGTCCTCAAGTGTCTGTTCATTCCCCATGTTTTACATCTCTTCCTCAGACATGTCCATGTATCTGTCAACACAAGGGGCTGCTCCTGCTGGAGGTAACTGGCTAACAGCTGGCCTGCACTGGCTGCTTGTGACAGCTCTGCTTGCCCCTCCTGAGATTCTGCCTTCAATTCTAACTTTAGCTTCCTGTGCTTAGAGAGAGAGAACAAGACAAGGCTTATATTGTTGTATTGAGATCTAAACCAGATATGTCTTATCTGTAAAGAGCTCTTATTAACATTTCTGTTAAATGTTTCCTGAAATATAAAAAATCCCAAACACAAACCCAAAAACCTCGAATCAAGTGTTAGGAACAACAAGCAGAAAACAGTTTCAGATAGTGTGAATGTTTTGAATCCCCTTATTTAAAAAGACTTATCATAAGACTAGAAAAGATAAAAGTAAACATGTCACGAATAATTTATGGGCTAACATCAGTCATGTGGCTGTAGAAAGTCAAGAGACACACACACAAAAGAAAAGCCCAACAAGGATAATTAAAGATTCTGGACTTAACTATAGGAAGCTGGAAAATGTTTTGGGCAGTCCCTCTCTGCTTTGTTCTTACACTTTTCCCCAGACATCTGCTGCTTGGCTGGCCCTTGTCTGGTTTTACAAGAGTGGCATGCCCTTAAGAGTGACAAGTGCAAGGTGTTGGGGAACCTGTTGCTTTTACAGCTTGCTGCACTTAAGGTCCATTTTTTTTATGTATGTTCATGGAAACACAACTTTAGGGTTCTTGCTGCTTTATCCCTAAGGCATTGGTGAGGCTCTGACCTTCACATGTCTCTGAAGCTGCAATTTCTTGAATTTGTATATGTGATAAACCTAGTCTTTCTCTAGCTACCCTGACACCTACTGTGTAACACTCAGAGGAGTTATTCACAATTCTTAATTCAATTATAAGTTGCTCCAGAAATACACATGCTACTTTATCCACCAGCCTGCAACTGTGGAGCTTCTACATGCATCTTTCTTGCCTGGATGAAATCACCCAGGCTTCTGATGTGAAGCTGCATGGTGTGCCCTGGACGCTACTGCAGCTGGACTGTGGTGGATGTTCGTGTGGGTTGCTGTCTAATTTTGGCCTCTTAAATTAATTTCCTTCTGCTTATTTGCTGCTTCCCTCCTTTTGCAGAACTTAAATCCTCCCTCATTGGAAAGAAGAAGCCAGGAGCTGCCAAGAAAGGGGTATGTCCGAGCTGTTTTATGGAGGGGAGGTAAAGCATGTCTTGCATTTCTGCTGTCCTTTCCCTGATTGTTGCTTTCTGCTTAACAAAGCTGTGTGACAAAGCTGTAGAGATCTGTTTTGGGGAAAGGAGACCTTAAACAGCCTGTATATTATTGCCAAAAAAATTATGTTCTGGATCATTACTGGTTGTGGTCTGAAGCTTATGTGGTTGATCTCTAAGTGTTGGCCACTGGTGGGTTAACTCAGGTGTTCTTCCATACTGTGTTGCCAGCTCTTTTGGGTCCATAGGCTGTGACTACACAGGGAGACTGAAGGACTCAATGGTGCAGCAAGAAGTAGGATTCAGGCTTTCTTCTACAATGAACAATCTACAATGAGAAATTCACAGGACTTTATTTTTGTTTTTCAAGCTGGGTGCAAAAAAAGGTCTTGGAGCCCAGAAAGTCAGCAGCCAGAGCTTCACTGAGATTGAGCGGCAAGCCCAGGTAGCAGAACAGCTGAGGGAACAGCAGGCTGTAGAGTCCAGGAAACAAGCCGAGGAGTCCATGTAAGTGCCCTGTTCGGGATGAGTACCGTGCATACCTAAGGCAGAAGTAGTGTGAGGTTAATGCTGTTCATCCTGGGATCACTAAATGTGGCTGCAGAACATACTGCATGAGAGGAAGAGCAGTAGCTATATGCCAATATGGCCCTTGCAGCAGGGCACAAGTTATACTGCTGTATTTTATTTAAATTAGCATTCCTGGAAGAGTGTAGGGAGTAGATACTTCTGTATCTTGTGTTTCTGTTCACTTTTGGACAGGAGTGAAAAAGCCAAAGGCTGAAATGGATGGATCATTCTGGGTGCAGGGGTGGGTAGAAGACAGACATTGTGATGCTTACAGTAAGGAAATCATGGTTAGCCAAAGAAGAGTTGAATCCCAGTGGAGGAGATGGCAAAACAAGTAATAGCTTCTCTGTGCAAGGATTTTTGGCAGAGCTGTTGTGAAAGTGGCTGTTTTGAAGAGTGGTCGGGGTTACTTAACCACTTGTTCTACAACATGGGCAGTGAGGGAGGGTAATGGGCTAGCACCCACCATGGATCTTTCCCTTAGAGTCACCTCAATGCGACTGGCTTACCAGGAACTGCAGCTTGATCGGAAGAAGGAAGAGAAGAAACTCCAGAACCTTGAAGGGAAGAAACGTGAACAAGCAGAGAGGCTGGGCATGGGATTGGCATCCAGAAGGTACTTGGTTGTGGATGGTGTAGGACAGACAGGTGTCTTGGAAGTACCCTGCTCTGGAAAAGTTTCTTGAAGGCAGTAGTTTGCTCTTGTAATAGATAAGGAGGTGAGTTAAAAGTGCTTATATGCTGGTCTCTGACTGAAAATGCTTCAGGCCCCAGAAGGAATAGGGACTCTGTTCAAAGGTTCTGGTTCTCATTTGAGCTTTTCCCCAGATATGTGTGGCCTGTCAGTGTCTAGCACTAGAGCAGTGCTGCTTGACAAGTATCCCCCTGCAGAATCCTTCCTTTAAGAAGGTAGTTGAAGTATCTTCTGAAGGAGCACAGATAACCATTCAACTATCACATGATAACCATTCTATCATAGAAGGGGACTGACATCCCACAACTCTCCCTCAAAACTTGTGTCATCTGCCCTGCCTGTGATGGCTGGATTCAGTTTTGAGGCAGACTTGGTTGTAGGGACTGGATGCTGTCAGACCCATCAGTCCTGACTCTGCCTGTTTGTTGTGCTAGTTCTGTTTCACACTCAGTGATGTCTGAGATGCAAGTAATTGAGCAAGAGACGCCGGTGGTAGCAAAAACTTCCCGCTCCCAACTGGACTTGTTTGAAGATGGTGGAAGCTTCACATCTGGACCCCCCAAGTAAGACTTAGCTTCAGTGTGGTCTTTGCTTATTCCTGAATTTCATGTCTGGTGTAAATTACCTATTTTTGGTACCTAGGTACAAATACAGTCCCTTCTCATTCGAAGATGCATTTGGTTCACGATGGGAAACGGACTCTTCATGGGGTATGGACAAAGAGGAGGAACCGGAGGTGACCGTTTCCAGCATTCGGCCGGTTTCAGAGAGGTAAAGTGCTTGCCACTGCTAGTGTACCTTGTGCCCCTTACGTAGGGGGCAAAGGATGAGTGTGGGAGCTGTGGCACAGATGCTACTGTGTTATAGTAGGAGCCTTGCGCTGCAGAAAGTTACTTGAACAGCACAGACAAGCCCAAGAAAAAGGGCCTCAAGTGAAAGGGCCTTGGACATCTCTTTGCCTGTCATGTCTGTAAGTTTATACACTGTGGTCATCAAGTGCTGACTGTCCTGAGGTGGGGAGAGGAGACCCACAATGTAACTAACACTTAAGGGTAACTTACTTGCCTCTGATTAGATGAGGTCTGAGACAGAAGTCTGATTCTTTACTGTGTTGGTGAGCTTAATCTGAGATGTCTCCTCTTGTTTCCTCAGACCCACCAGCAGGCGGGAGATTGAGAACAGGCCCTCCATGGTGGAATCCAATGAAGCTCGGCAGAAGTTTGCAGGGGCTAAAGCTATCTCTTCGGATATGTTTTTCGGGCGGGAAGCAGATGCTGAGGTAGATGCATTCTGCAGTGCTTACACTGGTACAGCTCTGGCTTTACCACCTCCTGTGTGCTCAGGTTATACTTTGTTCCCTTCCTATATAATATTTTTGTTGTGTTTTCTGCTGCAGTATGAAGCCAGATCCCGACTGCAGCAGCTCTCGGGCAGCAGTGCCATCAGCTCTGCAGACCTGTTTGGAGAGGCTGACAATGTGCACTCAGGTTAGTTAGCACTCAGTGGGGGTTGAGGAAGGGAGCAGTTTTGGAAGACCTAGACTGGAGGGGATCAAGGTGCTTTTTGGAGCTGAGGGACTCTGGGCTAACTCCTCCTGGTTCTTGTAGGTGGTGTGTCTATTGGAAATGTCCTGCCTGCAGCTGACATTGCACAGTTCAAGCAAGGGGTGAAATCAGTTGCTGGCAAGATGGCTGTCCTGGCCAATGGGGTGATGAACTCCCTTCAGGTGAGTTTACATTATGGCATCTTCAGAAAGGCTATTGTCATTTTCAGGGACTTTCACCATACCCTGGCTTCTGTTGGAATTATCACTATCTTTTCAAATTATGTGGAAAGTCCCAGGTAGACACCTGTCTTGTATAGCTTTTGACTGCAGTACTAAGCAATTGCAGGTGGCCAGTGAACTCTACTTGGCCAGCCTTACTGTCCTGCTGCACAGGACACCTTGTTATGTCAGATACACGTTTTCCCACAAATTCCAGGTAGAATTTTAAAAATCAAGGTCATTTTACCTCCTGCCTTTGTACAGTATCTAGATAACCTCACACTGCATAAAATACCAAACCCCCCAATTTCTTGTTATCTGTTTCTGGATTTTGCACACAGGTGTTGTAGCAAGATGTCTCTGTTTCCTCCTTAGGATCGTTATGGTTCATATTGATGACCCAGGGACTGCAAAGGGAAGCCAGCAAGAGGCACTGATGCCACCTTTGCCTGATGTAAACTCTGCAGGATTGTCTTATTTGTCTGGGTTGGGTGGGTAGGGGAGAAGGTAAGCGGAGGGGGTCAGGACGTGGCTGTGCCCAGGATGCTTTCTGAATATCTCTGGATTCCACTCTATTAAAATTCAATGTGCCCTCATACCCACTGCTATCTACTAGCCAGTGGAGACAGGCCTTTTTACAGGGTTAACCTCATTGCTGTAAAAGATATGACAGGAACTCCTGGGCTGCCCTCATCAGTGCTCCTGCCCTTTGGCCCACACCTTAGCACACCAAGTGACAGAGAAAAGGGGAATGCTATTTTCCTGAACATCATGTGACATGACTGTTTTTTGTTCTGATCACTCTTCCCAATCCATGGTGCTGTGGAGTCCTCTGTATTCGCAGGGTTTGCTTTTTACCGTGATCTAGTCCTTTTTACTGTCTTCTAAACCAGCATATATGAATGCGGGAGAAAAAAAAGATCAAATCAAAGATTATTTTTTTAGCTTCTATCTACATCATCAGCAAAAAAGGCCCAGGTAAAGAAGTAAAGAAATTTACTGGATCCCTGGTTTATTTTGTTGCCCAGCTTTGCATCAGATCAAAGTACTGAGCCTCTGGCTTTACCATGAGGTGCAGCAGTGAGGACTGTCACTTTGGTCCTGTTCAGCTTGGTCTCTGGTTTTAACAAGAGTGCTTTTCTCTTCCTTGGACTATGGTGTTGAGAACTAGGTAGGAAGAAGGGGTGGGAAAAGGGCTAGCTTTTAAACAGTGTTAGCAAAAGTGAGGCTGTGGCTGTTTGTTGCGGAGCCTCCTGTCTGGGACCGAGAAGAGGCTTGCATGGACTTCACCTCTCCTGTCCAATTGAGGGGCTGTGGGTGGGAAGGGAAGGGTTACTCAGCTGCTCTGTGCTGATGTTTCATCTTGGCGGGAAGTGAGGGGATGAGGGTCGGGTCTCCCTGTTCCTTGTCTCTGTGCTCTAATGTAGTTGTGTCAGTGTCTCAGTACCCACAGCAGGCTGGGGCTGCAGGGAGCGGTGGTGCAGCTGCGGGGTGTGGTGGTGGTCCAGGCACTCGGGGTTGGGGCCGGTGCCTTCCCAGTCCAAGGCAAGAGGTTCCTGGGGCTCTGGAAGCTGGCCTGCCCACCAGATACTGCTCCCCTGAGGAGGGGCTGGGGCAGCCCAGAACACCTGAAGACCCAGACACAGCAGAGGCCTGACACAGCGTGCTTTATTGCCAGGCTGTCACAGCCACTCACCGAGCTGGGAGAGAATGCACAGATCATAAATAATTCAACTTACAATAAATAAATAACCCTGCTGGCACCCTGCTACAAGCTTTGGGTTACCAGTTCCTGGTGACCTGTGCTGCAGCACTTTATGACCAGGAGAAGCAAGGAGGCTCCCAAAGAAGCATGAGAAACTGAAGTTCCCCAAGAAATAACTAGTCTATGCAAGCTAGGGCAGAGGAGCTGGGCTAGACAAAGCATTTGGGTCTGTGGAGGTTTAAACTGATGAGTTGGTTGCTATTAATGCAATGTGTTGCTACTTATTTTTGTAGTTTTAAGGGCTATGCTGCTGCTCCAACAATACCAATATTTACAAAAACCCCTGACTTGATTTCATTTGAGGACTGCTGCTTTTTCCCTTAGTGCTTCTGCCCACCCAGCTCCAGTAGGTGCTCTGTGTGCTTGCAAGCCATACCACCTGTGGCCAAGGATTTTAATGACCCTATCCCTCTCTTCCAAATCCTCTGAAATTCACTTCTCCAAATGACTGTAATATGCTGTTGGAAAGATGGCAACACCTCACAGAAGGGCACTCAGTACAGCAGCGGAGCCAGACAGCACCATGCAGTACTTACTGCAATCTAGCTTATTTGCTGTATTTGCTTTGGCAAGTTTTGGACACATGGAGGAGAAAGCACAAAGCAGAGACAGGTTGCATGGCAATATCTAAGTTGCCCTTTTTTAGGAACTTTGTGAATTTCCTTACCTTTGATCATGTGCAGATGCAGCTTTACTGGGAATAATAATGGAACACAAGTGCAGAGCTGCTGCTGACGATTTAACCACTGTGTTATCTGGGCCAAGTCTGAACAGAGCTACACAACAAAACACTGGCAAGCGGCCTGTACTAGTGCTCCTGCTGCTTCAGCACCTGCTGAACTGCGGAACTGGGAGGGAGAGCCCCGGTGAGAGCATACCCGGCTGCTTCCAAGCGCTGGCAGAGCTGGCGTTTGCTGGCTTGTCTTGCCTGCCAGTAGAGGGAAGCATAACACTGTAGCTGTAAACGGCTTCTGCAGAGGCGCTATTCCTGCACGGATTTGGAGCTAAGAAAAAGGCAAGTTGTTCCTGGGAAAAGATGGGTGAAGCTGGCACTGGGGATTAGCACAGCCACACACACACTGCTGACATAGACAAAACCCACTTTTAGAGCAGATGCTCTGGGAGGGGGTGCTGTTCCTCCACTGGGTTCTGGAGAAACCCAAGATGGGAATGGTGCCCACCCTCACAACCTTCAGTTTTCAGAGGAGTCTGTCTCTTCATTGGAGCCTTCACTCTCAGCATCCATTTTTCGACGATGGTGCAGAGGTTTCCAAGGTGAATTAATCCTGGGTGAGTTACGAACAGGCATATTTGCTGTGTCGGCACTGGAGCTGGCAGGACCAGAGACAGAAAGCCCTGAAACCTGAGCTACCCTGAAAGAGAAAAGACAAACGCTAGGCAGCATGTTGCAAAAACTTCTACTGCAGCACTCTTGAAGTGAACCTGGGAGAAAGGCTTAAAACTAGTACAGGGATGGAAAGATGTTCATGGCATAGTGGGGGAACACGTTGCACTGGTACCACTCAGACTCGCCAAGATTCACTCAAGATGTGAATCTTCTATTTAAACTTATCTTCTGGGCTGATGTCATTCCTTCCAAGACTCCTACTTTTCACCATCCAAATAAAATTTCCCTGTTCATTAGAGACTGCTGCTTCCTTTAGATCCCTCTTTGAGTCACAGTCTTCTCTGTTTCTGAAGACTTTTGTAAGGATTTTGTTAACTGCACTGAGGCACCACAAGAAAGAAACCCTTCCTGTTCAGGCTGTTCTTTGAGCTCCTCTATTGTTTTGTAGTAGAGCAGAGGAATAGGACAGTATTACACTCTTCTTTATCATGCTACCTTTAATCTGTTATTTTACCTCCTAGTTTAGGCAGTTCCACTTACAATTTCTCAAGTTCTTGATCCATGGCAGGGTCCAGAAACAAGTCTCCTTTATCTGGCAGAGCCCCTGTGAGGAACAAAACCAACCAAAGTATCAGCAGAGTTAGGCTAGTCATTCTTCGAGAGAGGTGTTCAAGCCATAGCAGCATCCAAAATCTGGCCTGCAAGACAGAGGACAATTTTCCTTATACCTATTAGAGAAATGGACACAATGTTTGGGATCATAGATAAAGAACGATGATTGATGATCCATTTTGCGTGTTTTACATGCTATAGCTGAGCTCAGACGACATGGGAGGCAACCTCATTAGTCTCACTTCCTACAGTCCTGAGGACTGGCAGTTTTCATTCACTGTACAAAATTAGAGTACTGACTGTCAGGGAGATGGCAGTCTGTCAACTGGGCCTCTGTTCATTGCCCAGTATAGTCACCAGTACCAGATGTAATACATGTGGTGCTCTCAGTGCCACAGCCTGAAACATACACTATACCACTCAGGATTATTTATTTAATTATTTTGTGCCACCTGCCGTTCTTGTGGTGCACTGAGCTGGGGGATCAAAACACTCCATAGGTTTAAGGCTTTTGCTTTCTTTGCAACTCAGGAAAGTCAGGCCTGACTCTTATGCACATTGCCTACAGGAGTTAAGTGTGGATGAACTGTGCTCTAGCACTGCTTACTGTCTGTGTGTGAGAATAAAAGGCTGGGCCAGTACTTGGGTACCCTCTCAGCATAAGATAAACATGCTTCTTTTCACTTAGAAACCCTACTCCAGATGAAGGAAATGGTATAGTTCAGGACTGGAACAGCTGATTGATAATCCTTGCTCTTCTCTGAAAACACTGGGACCTTAGCAGGGCCAGAAAGGAAGATGGGGCTCTTAGGAAAGCCCTCCTTACTAATTCTAACTCCACCTTGTGTAGGGGTCATTGGAGAGTGTGATCAGCCAGCACAGAGATTATCTACCAGACCCTGGAGAGTACCACTGCACACCAGGATAAAAAGCCCATTTGATAATCTATACCAACAGTATAGTGAGGAATGCTCTAAGGTTTTTCAGGAGACTTGGATGCTACACTCAAAACCTTTGGAAAGGGGCTTTGTATTCCTTGTGGGGACACAAGCCTGTTTTCTGGCTCTGTTACCTTCCTCTTGCAGGAGAGGCTGGAGAGCCACCTGTTCCACAAAGACAGGCTGGGACCAGTCATCAAAAATGTAGTGATGAATGCCTGAAAACTAGAGTAAGTTTAGACCAGAACTGATTCCCCCATTTATTTGGGTTCTAGTCTACTCCTCTAGTAAATGAGCAGGGAAGTCTAGCACTGCAAAACAGTATCAAGAGATCCACAGAAATGTCCCAGTCTGCTTTTCTTTGTGGTTGCAATTAAATTAAGAATAAGCAACTAAAGGTTAACTTGGTTCTGTAGTTACAGGGCACACAATGGAGTCTCTAGGGCACAAGACTTACTTGGGACAGTTGAAAAATGGCACTTGGAGCATTCACAAATCAGCACTGACATTGGAGATTGCCAGGCGGACTGGAATCTGCAGTCCAACTCAGTGGCACTGTCCCAGCCTGAAGAAGCTGCTTTAATCTCTATCCCTGTTCCTCAAGAAGAGCTTCTGGCTTTGTGAGACCAAAACCTCCTCTGCCTGAAACTGCTCTTGCTGAAGGGCTTTGGGGAGCTTGTGATCCCCTACAGACCAAAGACTATTGAAATCACCCTTCAGGAGAGATTAAAAGACACCAGGAAAAGAATCCTCCTTTCCTTGCCAAAAACGCTAGCACCTGTCAGACTTGTGGTTGCTGCCCCTCCTCTGAGAGAGGCCTCAGCAGGAGGCTGGCAGAGGGCCAGAGGACAGGCCTACATTAATGGAAACTAAACCCACTCACTTTGTAGATGGCACAATGGAGGCTGTGGGCAGGATTTATTTTTTTCTTTTTTCTTTTTTCTTTTTTTTCCCTTTTCATCTGTTTTCTTTATGCTTGACTAGAAGTGGATTTCATAGGGCAAAGGAAAAAAAAAGATTTTGCTTGCTGCCATCCAGGCATCACCTTCCTCCCAGTGAATACATTGCTTTCTAAGCCTGTTTTCAGAGGGGATTGCAGGGCTGCATTCATGCACCTTTGATATATAATCTGCCCTGCCCCAGAGGAGCATTAGCAGCTTAAATGGTTTGCTGTAAGAAGGGGCTCAGCCAGGGAAGACACACTTTTACTGCACTAGGACACACCTGTGCAAAAGAAGCAGCCCTCAGGCAAGGTACACCTTTTCATTGAATTTTGTCTTTGCAATTAGGGACTGGCAGATACTCAGGCCTAGAAGTAGAGGAAGAGGGTATTTACCCAAAGACAGAGAGCATCTACCCTTAATGGCCAGGTGTTTTGCTGAGTAGAGATGAACGAAGATAACTGTTTGAGAACACCCCCCCCTCCCCCAGCCCTCCCTCCCTGCTCCTGCCATTTATATTTATCTCCTGGATACAGTCTTGTCAAACAGAAAAGCCATTTCTGTTCTTCTTTGTGGGAGGAGGAAGAGCACAAGCAAGGCATATGGGGGAAATATGAAACTGTGAGTGAATTATGGATGGATTACATACTGTCCTTTGCCAATGTAACACTGTTTCCTTGTTCCAAACCAGCACAACAGAAACAAGCAGTGAGATGCTGGTTGGTAATCCCTGTGGTTCCCACAGCACCATGCTACAGATTTTTGTAGCAGTTTGTGTTTTCAGCAGGCCATAGCTAGCTTCTAGCAAGATTTTGCTGCCTTGAGGGAAAATGAGGAGGAGCTGGGAAAGACTGAGATTTTAACCTTTGAGCCAAGGAAATAGCAGTTTTCCATTAGGTGTGCCTTCTTGTCTTATAGATGAGAGCAGCCATTTAAAATCTGTGGGAGCACAAAGGGCTAAAATACAGGATGGCACCTCAACTCACTAATCCTTGAGGAAGCTCCACAGCTTCAGGCAGACAGTAAGGCACATGTTACATTTTTAAAGTTAATCCATCAACAAAAAGATAAAAAACTTCCCCTCACTCTCTTCCTGACAGTGTAAAATATGGGTTATAATTACAAAAGAAATTCCACAGAAATACAGAATGACTGGAAATCGTGGGCAGCTAGGAAAAGAGAGACTGAGATAATTTTGTTTTCTAAATTATAACCTTTTCTTTTTCTCAGACCCAGCTCAAAATCGAGAAATAAACCCTTTACCTATTCTAACACTGTGAGGCTGCCTTGACTCAGTTTAAAATGCTGTTATCACACTATTATCAATGATAGTCAGACAAGGGGCAAGAAAACCTCTCCAATGATAGCCTAAATATGTCAGAGAACACTATTTAGGTGAAGACTAAATTAGCATATCCCCTTCTTCTACACTCACCTTAACCCCTGGTCCTGAGTTCTAAGCAGTATTTTCATGGTGATTCTTGCTCTTGACCAATACTCCTTGAAGGATTTCATACAAAATCAAGCTGCCTTATAAAGAGGAAGTGTTGAACAGTCAGTGGTGTGGTGGTACCCCTGGGAGATGTGGGGGTGAACTGGTTACTCAGGCAGAAGTGCTTACCAAAGCCTGACTGAGTATTGAGCTACTGCATGAAAGGCTGGGAATTGCTCCCCTCATAGTGCTGTGCAAAGCACAACACACCTACCAGATGGGCCCACAGTACTCTTCCCTGAAGAATCTGAAGTTCTCAGGACATACAAGGAATGTATGTCCTTTTTTTTGTTGTTTATAAGATCAAAACAACCCATCAACTCCATGCTTAGGTATCTATAGAATTGGACAGCAGTTCAGCAATAATTTTGTGGATCACAAATCTGGATTTGGAAACCTGAAGTATAAATCAGGTGGAACTTGTTGTGAGTTATTTTGTGTTTCTAGACCATGACCTTCTAGGAGGGCGTATTCTCACAACCTTGAAGAAACTATGATGAAAGTGTCTGTCAAAGCTATACAGTAAGGTCTGGTGTTGCTCCATCCTCTGCTGAAGTAAAGCTAGTCTTTTACCTGGCATCTGTAGCTGGAGACCTGCTCCAACACAGGCCTAACAGTGTGAACTCACCTATGTACTAAGGCTTCATACTCCATCCACCCAGTGGGCTCTTGGAACTTCTAAGAACCCAACTGCACTTGTTTATTCCCCCTAGCTAACAAATAATGGATCTCTTCTTGATGAAAGTGTCAATGCAGAAATGAGATGGAGAGCAGAGACCCAAATCCATCTATTACTTCAAGAATCAGTTCAAACCCCATGTTTATCTGGTCCATGAAATTGTTTCTCTCATTTGGTTAAAACTGTTCAGCTATGATGTTTTCCTTCGTACTTCCTCAGTGAGAGCCATGTGGGAATATCAGCTTGTTCAAAGCCCTCTCTTTCTTAACAGCTCCAACCTTACAAAGGGTTTCCACAGACAGGGACTTCAAATTTGTATTTTAGACTCCATTCGTACCTGTACTTTGATCTGTCACACAAGGACTCCAGGCACTGGTAGAAGAGAGATGCCTCTACTCCTTCAAGTGGATTGCAGTCATTTGGAGGCTGGCGTTGCCGATGTTGTCCAGAGGATGATGTTGGTACAATCACAGTATTTGGATTCTTACCAGCCAGCAGGTCTTGATAAATGGCAGCCACACTTTCCAGGAACTCTAAAAGAATAGAAATAAATTTAAAACTCAGGGCTGTAAACAGCAAAGCAACCTCCTGACCTGTGGCTTTAACTGTTGTTCTGTGTTGTACATAGCACTAACAGGAAATAAGCACAACTCTACAGTATCCTGCATGTTCAGAACAGATATTATGCACACCCATACAGCCATTTCCATAGAATTTGCTATCTTCTTATTATTAGGATGATTATGAGAGGTGACTCACTCTGTTGAGAAGATTAATCTCAAGGGAAAAAAGGCTATCTAGCACACTGATGAAACAGTGAGTGTGAAAGCTAATGTCAAACACAAAACTAGTTTGTGAAGTCTAAATATTTTCCTTCTCCACCTCTTGCCACTGTTAAGACCTCATCCAAGCTGGGAGCAAACTATATTGAATTGCAACAGGAGGAAAGGAAGCATATTAGTTAGGGCTCCAGGCAGTATCCCAGCTTGCCTCCGTGCTGCTCCAAAGTAAATATAACACAGGATTGAGAAGAAGGGCCAGGGCAGGTCAGGGCTGGAGTTGGCAGAAAGCCTCTCCCCAGGCTCCTCATACTACCCACTGTTTACTGCAGGAGTCTAATTTTAAACAAGTTTGTTTATGGATGTGGTCAGCAGTTTACAAATCCAGATTCCATTTGGAGTGGTTTGCATGTGTGTGGGTTGGTGGGAGAGTGTATGACAGGCTGCGTGTGTGCACTGTGCCTGGGTGAACAGGACAGGGATGGGATCTTTGAGTGTGTGTACACAAGAATGAGCTTGCCAGGACTCCAGTGGCATTTAAGTTCCGAGTGAATGGAAGTGCAATGCTGTGCGTGAGGTGGGTGGAGAGGAAAGTCAAGATGTCAGCAGGCCCTGAGGCTGTGCTGAGGTTCTGCAGCTCTATGGAAATATTTGTTTTATCAGAGAAAACTTTCCAAACACATTTTCTGTCCCTGACTAAAGGCATTGCAAGCCTGGTTCTGCCCAACTCAAAATCACCATTTAGAACTGTTTTTTATAATGAGTTGTCATGGATAAAGTGATATGCACAGTAGAGTTACAAGGGACGTATATACAGAGAACTATTAAGAAAAAGAGATTTTTATATTAGGGATAGCAGAGGACTCCGAACTGCTATAAAGATGGGAACTCACAGGTTGGATCAGATCAGAAGGCCACCCAGGTTTACTCTCTGACCACAGACTATGCTCACAACAGCTTCTAGCCAATGTTTCTGAGTACGTAAACCTGGCCCGTTCCGCCTGGTCGAGGCCAATTGTGAGTAACGTCCATCAGAGGGAGCCATTTCAGTGTGAGTGGACAGAAATCCAGGACCTTCATGTTAGAAAGTGCTGTGTGACAGATGAGAAAGTGGCATGCTAGCCAGTGCTTGGGAGCATATCTAATGCTTCCCTCTTTTTGTCCTGAATGAGATTCTCGTTCCTCAGTCACAATTTAGAGGGGCTAGGGTGGCAGGACGATATATTTTAAAGCAGTCTTCCCATACAGGACAAGCACCTTAATGCTCATCCAAGTTTCTCCACCTTGTTTCCTGAAGTTTAAAAATACTTGGGGATTTTCCAGATGTGTATGTGTGGGTGAGCATGAGAAAATACACACACACACAAACCAATATTATTTTATTTGTACTTTTCCTGCCAAGAATTTTAGAAGTATCCTATCTAGTTAAAACTCAGACTGGGGAAGGGGGATTGAATACAATAAATGACCAACAATATGAAGACTGTTCACATGGGTTGTCTGTTCCTTTTGCTTTCCAACTAGGGGCTCTCTAATCAAACAAAAGAGGTGGTTCTTCACTGGACAGGTGTCAAACCTGTGCAATTCTTCACCAAAAGGTGTGGAGGTTACAAGTTTATATGATTTCAAGGGGAGACCGAAAAAGTTCTTGGGAGTGGAGTCCACTGAGGGTTCCTAAACCCATGGAAATTATACCCAGTTCAGAAACTCTCTGAGCTGAAACCACCTCATAGTAGAGCAAATATTAAGGGGAAGAATTATATAGATTTGTCCAGTTGCTTTTCCCTTAAAGGCACCAGCTGGGGGGCTTTTCCTATCCTGTTTCCAGCAGGAATGAATAATTTCCTTAAAGGGAAGAAATGTTCCTAGTAAAAGCTAATTGTTAGGTGTTGACATAGTCTAGATAAAGCTGGAAATTCATGTCTCAAGACCAAGACAAATAAACACATCAGACATAGCAGTTGTGGATATGTCCTTATTCACAACAATTTGGAATCTCCTCATTAAGTCTCCTAATCTCTTCACATCTGTTATGTTTTTCATCAGTAGAGTCCATTAGCTATATATTTTCTGTGAAAAAACATATCCTCTCAAAAAAGTGCAAAGATTGGGAAGCTGTAAAATTGTAATTCTACAAGTGGGAGAAGTCAACAGCTTCCTGGCATTTACCTGAATAGTAGAACTGGATCTGGAAAGCAAAGAGGAAATCAGAAAAAGACATCAGGCAATCCATTGCATCATCCATCAGCACAATCCTATGATAAGATGAGAGAAACAGTTCAGCATCTACAAAAAAACTAAAGTCTGTAACCAGGAACCCCAGACCTTTAGAAAGTGCAGCCAAGAAACTGTGTGCAACTGAGGATTGCCAGTGGCCCAGTACAAGAAGTTAGGAGAGAGAAATGGGAACACCCACTGCTGCACGGATGTGGATGCCCTAATATCAAATGAAGGCAGTTTAAGAACCTGAAGCGAGCCGAAGATCCTGAATATCAATCACACACTTCAGCTACAATGTGAACAGAGCACTGCGACATTCAAAGCCCAATGGACAAGGTGGTACAAAACACTGGTACATAAATATGCAGGGCTAGTTCATATGGTTATATAGAATTGTAGAATACCCTGAGTTGGAAGGGATCCACAAGGATCAATGAAGTCCAGATTCTGACTAAATGTGATTACAGACAGGACAGGTACACAAGTAGTAAACTCGTATAAGCAGAACGAGACTCATGCTACTCCTCTGTATATCAGAATTCATCAAACTGGGACATTTTTCAGATTCATGAATGTCACAACAGTTGCAATTCACCATGTGTACTCAAACAAACTCTACTTGACTACAGAGGAAATAACATTGCACCAAAAATCAGCTTCCTAACTGCACTCTCTGAATATCCTACCCTCCCTTCCTGATAAAAGGAATGGTCTTTTTTCATATTAGGTTTATTATTTGACTATCAAGTCAACTGTCACAGCAACTGAAGACTTCTTGGGCCAGGGACAGTCTTCTTTGTCCCTGCTAAGTCATAGGTGCATGTAGGCAGCTACACACATCCTTACTTTGAAGCCTATTTCTTGAATATGGAAAATACCAGCCACAGGCCATAAAGATGAAATGTAAGTGATAGCAAAATCCAGCTCTTCCTTTCAGAAAAAAAAACTTGTTGATTTCAGGGCAAAAATGAAAATTAAAACAAAAACAATACTCTGGTCACTGCCACCACTACCTAAGGAAAAAAAGGTCAGTCTCTGAATGAGTGGGGAAAATCAAACTCATCTAATCAATGACGACTTAGTCTGTAAAACAAAAGAAAATACTCCACTTGGAAGGGGAAAAAACCTGGAGTATTCAGGCAATGCTAAAGAAACGCAATTGGTATTTCTTTTCAGCTGCATGTAGGTCTACTGAATTGGTCCAGTCAGCATCTGGCATACTGTGCTATATGAGGACTGTCAGTTCATTACAGCCAAAGTATGGGTCATCCAGTAGGACCCTTTTGGAAACAGGGCCAGATGCGATTTGCACACCAACTCCTGCAGCATCAATTGTCTAAACACACTGCTGAGGAAACACTGTTCTGTCTCATGTAAAAGACTCAAGGGAGCTGTGTGGGAGGCTGACCTAGAAGAACATAGGATCTTGCAAGACTTCTCTGCCACTCAGACCAGTTCTGTTCACTGTGGCAAAATCAAACATGTAGAGCAGCTTGAATTAATTATCGCAAAGAAGAAAGACTGGGGCTAAGAGGGTCCCCAGGAGAAAAGCCAGTATTTAAAACAAAACCCTTTGAAGATGTCAAAGTGCTTCTGATTTATTTATTACATTCCAGAAGCCTCCTCTCCTCCTGTATAAAGAAGCAGTAGCTTCAGTTCTTAATTCTCACTAATAAGCATGCTACTGAGATTGTCAGTGGCCACATCAAGGAAATGGCTTTGAAGCTGGCAGGCAGAGCATCTTCATCTCTCAGGCAATACTGTTCAGCCACTGGCACTTCCAGCCACTATTTAAGCACTGGAAATGTGATTGGCCACATCACTGATGAGCTGCACTCCCTCCTTTGAAATGATGGTCTGTCTCCCAGATACCCTCAAAGCACTGAAGCTTTCTTCTCAAAAATGCAGGAGAACAACAGTGGAGAGTGGTTTTACATATTTGTTATGCAGAGAGACAATATTACATCACCTTCATAACAAGAAACTCATTTCACTTGTTAAATTTAAAACTCTGGTCAATGGCAGTGCTCTGCAGCACCAAGTTCCAGTCTCTTACTTAAAGGAGAGCATGAGGAAGTATGCAGAAGTATGAGAATTTGCTGGACAATTTTTGCTGTTAAAGACAGGAAGGAGCCTCTGAGGAAGCCTGTACAGCACATATGTGACAGAGGAGCATCTAAATAGAAGCAGGTGCACTCTGGTGCTGGGTTACTGACTCCGCTTGGCCCAGGGGTTTGCACACCGGAAATGTTGAGAAGTCTTTAAATCCCATACAATCATTTATGAGGAGATTGACTGCAGCTGGCAATTCCCCCACATGACCAGCTGACTAAGCACTCAAGGAAGCAGAGAGAGCATCATATGCAACATATCTGCACCTCTTCCTTGAAATATCTGGCAAGGAGAAAAACCTAGCTATGGACTGTAACCTAGACAGCAGGACGAAAATTGAGGACAAAATCTGAAAGTCTGAACTGCAGCTCAAAAGAGTTCATCAGGTATCTCATATTTCAAGGGATTTTTTTTTTTCTTGTCCAAATTAGACTTTAAACCCTGAGGCCACAGATGTATTTAAAAAGTTAGTAGCTGGCACTCAGTGAATAATGAAAATCAAGGAGGAACTTTGGAAAGGACTGAAGAAAAATGCCTACACTTGAGGCATTCTGGTAGAGGGTATAGTGGTCTTTCAGGGTTCAAGTGGGTTTGGCTGGCAGGAAAGCCTAACTGTTGTGCCAATGGGGAAACTTCATGGTCTCCTGATTGTGGTTAAAATCTCAGAAATCCAGACTAGACAGGATGTTCCCAGGACAAACTCTAGACGAGGCAAATTGAAAGGACTTTTACCATTTTCTGCTACCATTAAAGGCTGACACAATCTGTCTTAAAGCCAGGCTGGCTCAAATGAGCTTTCAGAGACTTGGTTTATTTACTGAGACATGGAGGCAAAAATAAGCAAAATGTACAAAACAGTCTGCTCTCTTAGGCAGTCTTTTAACAACAGGGTTACTGAATTGCAAGCCCCAGTTCCATTAGACCTGATCAGTGCAACGTGAGCTCACACACCAAATAAAAGAGCATAGGAGCTGTGAACTACTTGGCTGTAGCTACTCAGATGTGGGCAGTGAGTTCCTTGTGTTTCTCTTACAATAGAAAAATCAGTACTCAGGTACAGATCTTAAAACCATGGCATCAAACCAGAAAAAAATCCTTCATATTCTGTCCTGCATTTTCAAGATTCAGAAAGCCAAGAGGGGTCTCTAAAGATCAAAGGTATCTCTGTAGATTAAAGTATTTAACCTGCTAATGGCTATAACCATTAGCATAAAATTATAACCATTATAACCATTACCATAAAAACCCAAAAAACCATCCAAAAAATCTCACAGACACAGATATCCTAGTTCATTTTTTGGGTATGACTTCTGCATTTGTGTAGCGTGCCAAGAACAGGAAAATAGAGTTCTCTGATGTCATGTGAATAAAACCTATATTGTTGTCGTCTCTGTTCTTATGTTCTGACGTATTCTGATCTTAGTCTTATTGTTTTTTATCAGAGCATAGCAACAGCTCCTGGATGAGTGGACTGCACCGTGCTGTGAGATCATCTCAGTCATGCAGCACATAGGCTACAGCTATGACTTCCCTCTTCCCAACAGCACCAATACAGGTCCTGGCTGTATCACTGAATGTTGCTGCTACTTTATTTCATTCACCCTCGCTGCTACTTTATTTCTTTCCTTGCCAAAGAAAATTAGAACAGAACTATTGGGTGTGTGTGGACTGAAGAAGGAACAATGTCTCTAGGTTTGCATGTGACCCTCATGTTTTGCAAAGACTAGGTCAACTGGTGCTGTAAGAAAGTCGGCAGAGCTCACCCTTCTAACAGGCAGCAACCAAGGAGGACAATGGGGAGTGTAGACCAGAAAAAGGACAAGAGAGTGAGCAACAGTTGTAAGCAAAGACAAAAATGGTTTAGAAATATGACAAGCTTTATTAAAATTGTTCAAATAGATCAGCTTGTTACAGAGCTAGCAATGTGCAAGTAAATCTCTAGCCAGCCAAAAGTAGGAATGAGGTCACCCCCACCTGAGCCTCTGACAGAGATCTCATATCTCTCCAACACCTGCTCCCAAAGCCAGCTTGTCTGTCTCTATGGCACATGCACAACAGTACTGCAGGCCCCTGAATGGGGCCTCTAGTTTACAGCAGCCTTGTGGACTAAATTCCTGGACACAAACATCACAACATGTGTAGATATGCTGAAGTCTCCTTCATTGTATGCACCATCACAAATTCCTGCTCAGTTCAGCTGGAGCCCTATGAAATACACACCAGCACATGGGACTGGTGCTTGTGTACCTCCATGAAAGGAAGCAGATTTCTGCTGTAGGACTAGCATTCTTAGTCTGGCACTGGGGGCCACGCAACTGAACAGATGTGTGTACCTTATTACATTTTCAATATCAGATAGCTAATAATCAGCTGCCTGGGCTGGACTGGAATCAGCAAGCACAATCAGTCAAATACTCCGTATCACATTATCAATGCCCTGAGCCAACTATCTGCTTTTTGCCGTGTCTAGATTAAAATAAAATTTCAAACAGATTAGCTGCCATGCTCTTACCAAACATACTTTAAAACACTGGCAACCCTTCAGAGGTTAGTGTGTTTAAATGTGATCAGCTATAGAAGCTGGGGCAAGGGGGAACACATTTTAGAATGGTAAACAGTATTTTAAATCGAGTTTAAAAATCATGTCAGTTAAAAACATATTGGCTAACATTCTTTTATCTGTAACTCTTCTGAACATAGAGCCAACAGCAGCATTCTGCATTGATATTTCAGTCTTTGTATATCTTAAATACGTACTCTTTCACACTGCTAGAGAAACACTCTGTTCTTAACCTCAAAAGATGGTGTCTCTTTTCCCCAAAGCCTTAAAAGCTGAAGGTCCCTGTTCATACCTTTACCTAGGTAAAGATCATGCATGTAGGTCTAATCTTGCCTTTAAAGAGAGAATGAGGACCCACCTTGCTGCTTTCTGAGTGAGTTCCATTGGGAAGTCAGGGCAGAGCAACTGCAGCAGGCAGTGGTATTCCTGTGCTGTCAGCAAATCTGCAGGAAAAGAGAGGTGAGAACATTGTCATTCTTTTATAGGCTGTTCCCTCCCCTTGCTTCCTCTCTAGGAAAAAAGCCTCATATTCCCTTGACTCCCAATTCAGGTAGTCTGAGTATTAAAGACAATATAACTGTTCCCTAGACTTTCAGAGATGGGCTCTTCAGATGGAGTTCCCAGCACCATCTGAAAGAGGCCTGATGAAGGGGAAATCCTATTGAACAGGTCCTGCAGAGAAACTGGTAACAGGTAGTGATTCAGTGTGAAAAAGGGGTAACCAAAACAGGGCAGTTTCAAGTGAGAACACAGTTTGGTTTGACTTGAATATAACCATGTGGAAAAAGGAACAATTTCAAAGTTGCTTAAATTTGCTGAAATTCACTGGCATGGTGACATTCCCCACAATACACTTGAAAATCATCCACAGAACATCTGGCAGCAGTAACAAAGGCAAACAAGGCTTTTGGGTTGTGTATGGAAGGCTACAGAGTATAAACCACAGACGTTATTACTTTGGCATTCAGTAAGGCAGCTGGATGGTCTCTTTTGGAATAATGTGTACAAATCTGGTCACTGTATTATAGGAAGCACAGAACAAAGTTCCAAAAAACACAAGGAAACCAATCAAATGATTCATGTTTTAGAGAGCAGCTTTGTGAAAGACTGGTCAAGAAGGAACATTGTGGCTCAGCAGAGGGAGTCTAAAAGAGGTGACTCTTAGGGAAGCTTATAGGATCCCAAGGGAATGGAAACATCCTGATGTTAAAAAGCCCTACATGATTGTATGTTCACAGTCCAAAAGGCTGTGGACTGGAGTTAAGAAGAAGACTAGCTGAACAGCAGCAATTTTGCAGTACTTCTATATACAGAAGAATGCAAAGTATGGAAGAAAGAGCCAGAGGTGGAAGCAGAGCCAAGCAGTAGTCAGGGAGGGGATCGCAAGGGCACTGGCAGTGGGACTGAGGTACAGAGCATAAGTTCTTTTGCCACAAACACGTTAGTCTTTATTAGGCTCTCATCCATATAATTAACCTTGTTTCAGATGACAGCCACAACTTAGAATCACAGAATCATTAAGGTCCAACCATTAGCCAACACTGCCAAGTCCAGCATTGAACCACATCCCTAAGCATCACATCTACATGTTTTTTGAACACTTCCAAGGGTGGCGATTCCATCACTTTCCAGGGCGGGGTGGGGCATTCCAATGCTTAACCACACTTTCAGTGAAGAAATTTTTCCTAATAGCCAATCTAAACTTTCCCTGGTGCAACTGGAAGCCATTTTCTCTAACCTTGTGTACTTGGGAGGAAAGACTGACCCTCATCTCTCTATCTCTTTTCAGATAAATGCAGAGAGCAGTAAGGTTTCCCTTACACTTCTTTTTCTCCAGGCTAAACAACGCCAGCTCCCTCAGCCATTTCTCCCAAGACTTGTACTCCAGACCTTTCACCAGCTCCACTGCGCTTCTCTGGATGTGCTCCAGCACCTCAATGTCTTTCTTGCATGGAGGGGCTCAAAACTGGATGCAGGGTTCAAGGTGTGGCCTCACCAGTGCTGAGTACAGGGGGACAATCACTGCCCTAGTCCTGCTGGCCACACTACTGCTGATAGAGGCCAGGCCATTGGCCTTCTTGGCTACTTGGGCTGCCATTCAGAAAAACCTCAACAGGTTGAAGAGATGGGCAGAGAGGAAACAACTGAAATTTAACAAAGGCAAGTGTAGGGTCCTGCACCTGGGAAAGAACAGCCCCATGCATCAGCATAAGCTGGGGGCTGACCTGCTGGAAAACAGCTCTGTAGAGAAGGACCTGGGGGTACTGATGGACAACAAGCTGTCCCTGAGCCAGCAGTGCCCTTGTGGGCAAGAAGGTCAATGGTATCCTGGGGTGCACTAGGAAGAGCATTGACAGCAGGTCCTGGCAGATGACCCTGCCCCTCTATTCAGCCATTGTGAGGCCACATCAGGAACACTGTGTCCAGTTCTGGGATCTTCAGGACAAGAGAGACATGGAGCTCCTGGAGCAGGTCCAGTGGAGGGTTACCAAGATTATTAAGGGTCTAGAGAATCTCTCTTGTAAGCACAGGCTGAGTGACTTGGGCCTGTTCACCTTGAGAAGAGAAAACTGAGAAGGGACGTCATCAATGTCTATCAGTATCTGAAGGGAGGGTGCCAAGAGGATGGAGCCAGGCTCTTCTTGATGGTGCCAAGCAGTAGGATAAGAAGCAATAGGCAGGAACACATACACAGGAATTTCCACATATGAGGATATGAGGAAGAACTTTACTGTGGGAATGACCATGTTGTAGGTTGTCCAACAGGGTTGTGGAGTCTCTCTCACTGGAGATACTCAAGAACCATCTGGATGCAATCCTGTGTCGTGTGCTCTAGGATTGATTCCTTGCTTGAGCAGGAAGGTTGGACCAAATGACCCACTGTGGCCAGTGACCCATTCTGTGATTTTCCACAGGCCCAGCACAGGAAACAGGTTACATGAAAACATAGAACTTGGGCATATAAAAGTTTTTGTTGAAACAGACACTTTCTCTTAATTGAACAGGTAGTATGGAGCTCTTACTCTTCAAGGATTCTAAATCTAGCTTTGAATAATGCTGGGCAATAAATTTCTGATCTTTGCCAAAAGGTCTAGATGTTGGTCTGAAGGAATCACACCAGCTGGAAACTTTATGCAATACTCAATTGACAGATTTTTTATTTGCTTAAATTAAAATTCCTATTTATGCATCCTTACACCTCTTGCTTGTTATTATTTTTTCTTTCATTTGTCACCAGACCATTATAATTACACTTTCTTCATACTGTATCTTATTCAATCCACTTAACAGATAACTACATTTATCTAAAGTTAAATCTGTTTACCTTACCCTCTACTTCTTTCCCTTCTTAGCCCAGTTATATCTGTTCCTCTGCTTTGATCCCCTTTAGATTTTCACAGTGTGGTGTCCAGCAGTATACAAAGCATCCTTCACGCATTCAGAACAGAAAGGCTCTAGGAGGATAATCTGCCTGCTTTAATCAGCTAAGGCCCATTTCATTAATTTTGGTTTTTAGTCTCCTCTTTTCTCCTGGCAGGTGAAGGAGTTTGAGGCCAGCTTTTTTTTGAAGGATGAGGTCTCCAAAGAAAGTTGCACTTTTTTCTCGGTCCCTGTCTGATTGATAGACAAAAGCAGCTTGAGAAGGTAACTGGGTTCTAAGAGAGCATTAGTTTTGAGACATAAATAGAGATCTCTCACTTGGCAGAAATAACATCATTCAAAAACTTATTATTATTTATGCTGTCTTTTTCTTTGGTCTCTTCTTACCAAATCACAGCATCATCCTTACTCCTCTACCATAAAACAAAAAACAATATAGAATAAAAACAGAAGTCTGCTCAGAAAGAATCTGAGAAAGGGTGGCAGAGATCCTCTCCAAGCCAGCACATTAGAGAATAAAGTTTGTTGTCAATAAAAGCGGAATTAATTACAGTTTCAATCCTTGGGCAAATGGTCCATTTAGACTAGAAACTGCCCATAAAGCTGAAGTGGTACAGAGAAGTTCCTCCTCTAAAGAAACCCTTTGTTTCTAACACCTGGGGAAATGGCACCAAATTATTCTGAATAATAATGCCTGAAGTACACAGGCAGACTTTTTTAGGCTGTAACACAACTCAGCCTGTAGACAACCCCAGGCGTCTGACCAACAAATCATACCAATTTTTCAGGCTATAGGTGGGTACCTTTTACACAGGAAGTGGGATCACCACAGACCTTAGGAGGTGTCTTCAGTTTGCTGTGATCACTGTTTTCCTATCCCCTACAGCAAGGTCAGTGAAGACCATGCAGAAAATTACATTTGCCCATGTACCACATTGTCTGCCAAGAGCTGCTTGGAATAAACAAAGGCAGTTTTGGTGCATGACCACGTTGCTCCTTCCTGTCTCCAGGCCACAGCTGAGTAAATAGAGTTCAATGTTGCATGATGAAGAAAGAACGAAAAGAAGGAAGGTATCAGTCAGAATGAGTGAAAACTGGAATCCACAACTGCTACTTTGGTTGCTACCACAAATTACTGCATCTCAAGTTCCAGTAACAAATGAAGCAAATCATGGAGTGTTTAAATCTGACCCCACAGCACAGGGCAGTGAGATATACACATTCTATGGTGCCCTTGCAGTGGAACAAACTTGCTCATAACCAAATGCTCAAGGATGGAGATTGCAGTCTCCATGTTAATCATGTTCATTTACAGCTGAACTAACACTTCGCTCTTCTACCGAAAAAGAACTAAAATTCCAAAGTCACTTTAAAACAACAGGTCACTAAGAAGGAGCTTAACAGGAAGTACTTTGACCATTCAGCATAGTTTTTTCTCTACTAGACTTCAAATTCTTGCCTAGCTTTTACTGGTACTGAGACCATGACACTAGCAAAATCCTAACCCTTTCCTAGAGATTGGATTGTCCTCTGAGTAGTTTATGGTCTTCTAGTGCCTGAGGAAGATCGTTTCTCATGTTTCAGAGGTACAGTGGAGAAAGAATTTTGTCCATGTGGTACAGTCTTAGAAGGTACCATTTCTGGACAAAAATGGCCTGCCTTGAGAAACATGGAGGCAGCTGCTCTGTGCTTTTTAATATGTGCTTTAAAGCACATATTAAAGCTGTTTCTGGTTTGTATGTGGCGAACAGATGGCACACAATCTGGAGTGATGCAAACCCTAGGAATACTAAATGATGTGTTAATGCTGCTGTCAGTGTTGTTCATGAAGTGTAGACACACCTGAATTATCTTAAAACCAGTTATCTTTCATAGTGACAGCAGCCTAGACATAGAAGCCTGGAGCTCAGTGAAGGCTGTAAAATCTACCCAGGAAGCCAATAAATATTTAGGACTTAGCCTGAATTGCAGTCATTGCTGCTGTATCTAGGCTGCTTTCAGCACAAGAAGTAGCTATCTACAACATTGTCACAACATTGTGACAGCTATAAAATGCCCAAAG